TACATGCAGGCCTTCACTTTAGTCCATTGTTCCCTCCACACTGGGCACCTGGTGGCAACTGCGGTGAACTAGTGCTTGTCATCAAGACTGCCAACATATGCTGTCATTGCTGACGTAACTGCAGGAACGCAGCACTGTGTTTGCGGAGGCTGAACTCACCATTCTTAGACCATGCCCCTGTCGTGAAGGAAAAGTCATCGGGCTTGGCGTGGGCTTTCAGGCAGAACCAGACGTGGTATCCACGTGCAATTTTCCTTCGGTTGGTCACACGCTTTGCGATTGAAGCGATAACAAATCGCCGCCCCTGATCATCACGCGTTTTTACACTCGGTTCACAATGTTAGATGAGGTCATCTCCCGCTTCTTTGGCCACGATGAGGCCTGTGTACCCGGGTCTGCCTGTTGTTCTCAGGCAAGTTGTGGATGCAGACGGCAAGACGTTGTGGGTCTTGGTGGGTCAGGAGACCGGGGCAAGGCGTTAACATCAGGAAGCCCCGTCTCCACCACAGCATTGTCTCATCTGCCCATCATGCGACATTGTCACATTGTCTAAGGCATGTTCTTCACCCCAGGAGTTTCCATGAAGCGCATCTTGGTGCAGAAAACCTTCTGCACCGCTGCTAGAATTCAGATTGGCAGCCAAAGCATGGACCCGCAGGACCCATTGTGGATTTTTTAACATGAACAGCCACCTTCGAAGTCAAGACAGTCGACTGAAGCCGCTCAAAATCAAACCTTCAAGCCATGAGTTGAAGAGTCCATCCGTAGAATTTCTCTTGTGCAATCCTTGCCACTTATCATTCTGCGGCGGGCAGAACGGAGCATCAGGACTCAGATACAAAGATCCGTTGCATTTGCCAGAAATCTGCTGCCACACTTCACAAGGACTTTGGCTTTATAGGATTCAGAAACAAGTAAGTCTGGACTGCACATGTTCGGCAAGTATCTTTGCACAAATTAGAAAACTCACTCTTGCGATCTGCTCGTTAGGGGAGCAGGCGGTGATAGATTTGTTTGGAACCAACCGGTTCTCGATTCTTCACCATCCACCGTAGCGAGCTCCTCCTAATGTGTGAAACAACATTGATGTGGGGGAGTGGGTCAGAAGCTCTTGGGCTTTGACTTGAGCCAAGCTTCCCAGGCCACGTCTACCTCCACCAGCTCCTGGCGTGTCAAGCCCGCAGGCAAAGGCACTTTGTCTCAGATACCACATCTGACGCTTGCCAAAAGGACGGCAAGGCGGGCTCGAAGAAATCACCACCATCGTGCAAATCTCCAATGTCGAACACAGCTGGTGGCCAAATTGTTCGCTTTCCCACATGCTCTGTAAGTAGTCTACACCCAGTCTTGTAGCGTGGCACGCAGAATCGTACTTTTCCCACAGCGCGGGTTGTGGCCAATTTTGCAAACTCTTTGTTTAAATCGCTGAAAACCGTGCAAAATAAACAAGGCGAGCGTGTAGCGTGCAGTACCTGTTCTTGTGCAACAATCTTTTGTCAAAGACTCCAATGTCGAAAACAACCGGTGGCCAAATTGTTCGTTTTCCCACAGTGCGGAGCGTCACGCAAACCTGAGACTTCATTGTGTGTCATTCCGTTTACATTCAAGAAGACCTGCGAAGAGTTTGGGGAAGCCGCAATGCGAGGATTTGTTTATCACGCGTATTCCACGATTTTGAGAGATTGAACAAACAGTTCGCAAACAAGAATTGGCTTCTTTTGTCTATAACGTGGCATGGAGCGGCTGTGTCTACTGCACCCCCAGTGTACCTGTAAAAAAAAAGCTTCGATCTGCACTGCAAGGCATGTGGAGCTTAAAGTTTGGAGGTTGTTGTTGATCTTGTGACGAGCTACGAACAAAATGAGTTTACCACTAGTTTACCAATGATATGATGAAGGAGAAAGATCTACATTCATAAACCTCGAGACAAAAAATCGTGCAAGGCAATGTGCATCCTTCGTACATAACCTCGTAACTAACACTTGTGATCCTTCATCCCTACCATGAACACGATACAGACATGCTTGGGTGCAAATTTGCTTGCCCAATTCAACACGATACATTGAGTTTGCGCATGACTTGCCACCTGCGCCGTGCCACAGTTCCGACGTGTAAATTGCCAGTAGCTGCAAGTGACGTAGACGACATGGAGACCGTCTGATCCCTGTTTATTCACATATTCATTCACCCCAGTAGATTCTTTGTGGAGTGCTTCTTGTCGGCAATTTTTGTATCATTTCAATTTGTTTGGTTGGGCAGCTTTCACAGAGAAGGTAGTTGGATGCAACTTTTCGGCGCAGCGGCTCGCCAGCGAGTCATGAGTCATGGGCACCAGGGACAATATGCATCATGCAGCACATTGCACGCAGATGCTTTATCTTGGCCGGATCTATTAAAAGGCATGTTTGGTTGGGCAAAATTTCGCATGGCCTCAGCTCCTTGCAACTACATGCATGTACAATCCAGCCTGCAAACATGAAGCATCTAGCCGTACAAGAGCTTTTGCGATTGAGTGGTGCATTTTCTTTCGGAGGGCCTCCGCTTTCCGAAAAGCTTTTCCCAAACTTCAGATGGAATCGAAGCGGCCATGCCTGCGTACATGGCTCGCTTCCATTGATGATGAGCTAAGCAGCACATTTGCGGCAGCTTTTGAGGAGCGGGCTGCTCTATGATTTCGGCTCGGGGGTTTAGGGTTTACGGCCTGAGGGTATGGGACTGGATTAGGTTCACGTGCTTGCCACGAGGCTAAGGGCTTGAGTGCAGCTGAGGAGTTAGGATACAACTGCAACCTCCTCCGTCAAGCCGAACCGGCCGACTTGGAAGAGGATTCTCGGTTCCTGTCGTCAAAGAATTTGATTTGAGTTCGGTGTCTACAACATGGATGTGAAGCCAGAAAAAAGTATGTTTTCATGCCATGACAATTTCAAGTTCCTAAGCAGACTCCAGGATTTGAAGGATATGGGCATGAAGAAAATGCAGATTCGTGTGGTCTTGCGGAGCCACGCGAAGTTGAAGCAAGAAGCAGTCCCATCACAGCAGCCTGCACAAGTGCTTCCAGCCGGCATGGCCGAGGCCTTGACATTCCAGTTGCCTGGTCTAACGTTTGAGGCTCAAGCGCCCCAACTTGCTTCAATCCCCAAGCTGAGCTGTCGAAAGTTTGGATGCCGACCTTTTTTGAAGCGTTGAACCGTGAAGCTTCCAATTACTAGCGCCTTAAAAGTGACACTCAGGCTTCCACGGGTGGAGCTGGGAAGCTTTCATGTGGTACTCGTTCCAGTCCTTTGCCTGCGCTGGGCCCAGAGTGCTGTTCATGGTCAGATGGTCTTTACGAGTGGCATCCACAAGGACACGTGCAGAATTTGCAGTTGGAAGAGGTTTTGGCCAAAGCTCGTGCCGATTTCTTGTGCAATGAAAACACCGCCCGCACAAGCCTGCAAACTCTGCAGCTGCTATCGCAACAGCTTGAGTTGTTTCGATGGGGTCCTAGTGCGTTTGCAGGTTTTCGTCAGCGGACGGGTTTTTAATATTTCCGGGAGATGCAAGCACCTCCCATAGGTCCCACCCAAACCTCCGAGCAATGAGCAAAAACGAGGAGGAGCTAGGTGCCGTGATTTTCTCAAGCACCTTCAGTGCCTTCCTCATTTCCCAAAACCGATCGACCAGGACCGATCAGTCTACGAGCTTTTGCATGACTTCCTGAGTGGACGCCAGGGTCACGAGCAGATTGAACCGCTCGATGTGGTGGTTGATGCGGGAGTCACGGCCTTTGTTTATGCAACTTTTTTGAAGGGCGTAAGGGCGAGGATATGTGAGGATTCGGATGATAAGCGCTCAGCAAAACTGAATGTGGCGGTAACGATAACGATGACGATGATGTTCACGCTGATGTTGATGATGATAACGATGCTGGTGGTGGTGGTGGTGGTGGTGGTGGTGGTGTTGTTGTTGTTGTTGTCGTCGTCGTCGTCGTCGTCGTCGTTGTTGTTGTTGTTGTTGTTGAGTGGGGTGGTTGTGGTGGTGGTGGTGGTGGAGGCGGCGGCGAGCGAACTGACCGCTTTTCTTCCTGTCTTCTCTTCATCAACTGCATAGTTTACCACAGCAGACTCATCATCACTGCTCTTGCAGGCTTTCTTGCGGCTGATGCTGTTCCGTTCATTCGTCCTTCTGTGCTCCGAAGCTCTGGTGCTTCACACGGCTAGATTGCAAGACTGCACTAGTCATCATTCCTGCAAGGTGCAAAGGGTTTCACCATGTCAACATTCTAGTCAAGGCGTTTCATTCGCTCTTTGTTAGCTAGCAGCAGATTGCTTTACCCAGAGCCAGGAAAGTTGTTCATCATCACCGGCAGCCGCCGGGCTTTGGCGCTTAGCGCACTGCAGGGCATTCGCCGGAACCAAACGATTCGGGCACCATGCCGCCTGTTTGGGCCTGAGGACAAGTTTCAAGAGCGTTACAAAGCAAGGGATACCAGCTCGGAGCAAGGTGAGGGCATGAGTTTGCGGCTTCATGGCCATCAGAAAGAGGCATGGCACATGGGCAGGCCCCTCTTCCGTTGCGAGCAGGAATGGTGTCCTGCGACGTCGTTTCAGGACGAAGGGAGCTTCCATAACAAAGAACAGGAGATGTCAAGCTTGCCTGAAATCCCATTCGAGCCTTTGTCGCAGTCGCGCTCCCAGGTTTTGCAGCCACCACCGCCACCGCCTCCGCCCCCTAATATGTGTAAGTCGGAGGGAGTCCACCGATTGAAGTGGAAAGAGCAGCATGGGGATGCTGCAGGAAGGATGTGTCGATACGGACTCACTTGTTGCGAGGATCCTTCAGGATTATCCGGCTTGCCTCATCGCGCTGTGTCGTTGGATGAGGACGGCGATACAAAATGCTTATCAGAAGATTTTCCTCAAACTAAAGCTATTTGTTGTCTGTGGCTTCGTGGAAGGTGCACCCAACCAGAAAGCCACATGCACGGAAACCGGCATTTCTTGCATGAGGATGTTCCAGGCATGCACTGTGGCTTTGGCCTGCACTGCCGCTATGCCCATAACGAAAAAGTTGAACCATCAGAAAACTCGCTCGCTGAGCAATCTTCCCACTCGGCGGATTTGAGATGCAGGCTGCAGTGGCGGCCCAAATGCCCAGCAGGAGATGCAGATGAGGAGATGAAAGGTTTCATGAAGAGTGAGCAGAGCATCACGGATTCTTCAGGATGCTCGAGACAGGAGTCGGCAACGGTCAACCCACAGGAGAAGAGGTCTCCAGGAGTCGAAGACGGCGCAAATCTTGACTGTCCCTCAATAGCGAAATTCATTTGCTGCAAGTGGCTATGTGGCACCTGCAAGGAAGGTGACAGTCACATCGCCGGCAACCGGCAATATCTGCATGAGGACATTCCAGGGCTTCAGTGTGGCTATGGATCCAACTGCTGGTATTCACACAACAACGAAAAGTCTGTGTGCTGCTATTGGCTGGAAGGACGCTGTGATTTTGAATCGACCCACACACTCGGAAAGCGCACTTTCCTGCATCGGCAGGTTCCAGAACTTCCGTGTAGTTATGGTGCTTCCTGCCGCTTCAACCACCATGTTTCCAGAAAGCACTCGAACAATGAACTTCGAAAAGATGCGTTAGTATGCATCAAAGCAAATACTCTTCAGTACGCGGAAGTTTTGGAAGTTGGCGAAAAGCAAGCACGTGTACGTTTCCTTCCTGATGATGGGAGGCAAGTTTCGAAATTGGTGTCATTGAGAGACCTCTTGGTTCCGGATTATTCCGACCTGGAAGAAGGCTTGCGTGTCCAAGTGATCGTTGGATCCAAGCAGTTCCTTGCAACCGTCAAGCGTATCTCCCAAGATGCTGCAAGAGCCCGGGCACCGATCTGCATCCACTTGAATGGACACCCCCATGAAGAGTGGGAGTGGGTGGGTGCCGACCGCTTGCACAGCAAGGCGTTGAAGTTCTTACCCATCAAGCCTCTTGAATCCAAGTCTGAGGACCCGGTGCCCGAACCGCCGGAAAGGGTCCAGGGGTGCGAGAAGCCCCCGGAAGCCGAACGAAGAGACTCTGAAGAGATGCCTTGTTTTCAAAGTTTCCCGACTGGTTCCCTGCCGTGGAATGAACCCTCGGACGAGGAGGATGCACTGCACAGCCTAGATGGCGCTGTCCATGCCACCGAGTGTGCCATTACGGTTGCCGGCCAGTCAAAGGAATGGCTTCCGGACCTGGAGCGCCAACTGAACGGACTGAGATCGAAGCATCTCCAGTGCGTATTGGCTCTGCATGGCTGGACCGGGGACAAGTTTGAATCTGAACCCGACCTACAGAACCTTCTTGACCGGCTGATCCAGGCGAGGTCGGACAAGTATGAAGTCAATAGCGACTGCAGTTACCAGGATTCCCTCGCTTCAGGGGCCGAGGTGTCAGAGGTCATGCTGAATGAAGCCGCTTCGAGCTGCGCTTTGTCCGTGGACAGTCTGGAAGCTCAGCTGGCAAGGCGCGAGCGTGAACCAAAACACCACGGCACACCAAACCCTAGCCCATGTTAGGGAGCCCCAAGCCCGAAATCCCAGAGCACCGAACATCTAGGCCCAAAGTGCCCTTGGTAACCTCGTCCGTATTATAGAGCCCTATAGTACCCTTGAAGGGAATCTTGTTCTAGAACCCTATTGTGTACCCTTGAAGGGAACCCCAGTATCTACACCCTAAACCCTAAACCCTAAACCCTAAACCCTACATAGTACCCTTAAACAAAACCCGATTATAGGCAGCCCAGCCATCTCGCGGAGCTGGCCGGAACTCTGGTCTTTGGAACCTTCCGCTGCAGCACGGCCGGCGTGGATGGCAAGACCAAGCGCTGCGGAGAGGTGAGGTTTGGTGGTAGTACCCAGAGAACCCAATACCCCTTAATCAAGGAATATACTTTAAATCATAATATTAAGACCCCTATAACTTAAGGTATATTTCTTAATTATGGGGTATTGGGTTCTCTGGGTAGGGTAGTACATAACAGTATTATTCCTTGCGGTAAGGTCAAGTGTTCACGAGGGTTCACTGGACTTTGGGACGTCATATCCTCGAGGCGCTCGAGTTTGTTCTTGGAGAGATTGAGGGGTTGAGGGTTTAGGGTTTAGGGTTTAGGATTGTCCGCGACCTTACACATCCCAAGATCGCTGATGCACTTCGGAAGGCTGTAGGGGCCTAAGCCCCCAGGATTCGCACACTGAGCCTCGCACATGTGGCTGCCAAGGACAGACCCGAAGAAGTATACGCCCTTTGAGCACCATCACTAAACCCGGAGCTCAGAGTGCCCGAACCTTACACTTAAACCTCAGCTCCGCATGCCCACGAGCCTCCACCCAAGCCCGAGCTGTAGCGGATGTCGAATTGAAGCCAGGGGCCTCCGTAAATAGCAATGCGCTGATGACACCTCGATGGTACTTGTGGCCGCACCTAAATTTACGGTAAAACTCTACTACTCTCAGCCAGGTCCTGGTAGAGCGTGGCCCACAAGCTTTGCTGGGCAGCAAGGTGCGGATCCTTGCAGGTGCCTTGCTTCCATGAGCCCCAAACAAACAACCCAGAGACTCCAATACCCCTTAATTAAGGAATATACCTTAAATTACAGTAGGATCCCTAACATGATTTAAGGTATATTCCTTAATTAAGGGGTATTGGAGTCTCCGGGAAGTTAAGGTAGATCGATTGCCAGACCGGCTTTCTTCACAGGGCCTGGGGAACCCCAACAGGATCAGAGAGGCGCTGCCTGTTTTCGAAGGCTCCGGGATTCCAAAAAAGACTGACGGTTTAGGGTTTAGGGTTTAGGGTTTAGGGTTTAGGGTTTAGGGTTTATGACCCAAAAGGCTAAAGGCAAAATGCCGAGCACACGCTTACAGAATAGCTTGAACACCTGGGCCAGAAACCCAGAACCCTAAGCCCTTCACTAGAAAACCTAAAACCAAAATCAAACCAAGATCTGAAACCGTTTATCCGTCGCGACTGAAAGGCAAGAATCGGGGGTCGGCTCGGGATTGCGACCGATGCTTCGTGCGGATCTTGCTCGCCTGGGTCCTCAGACCTTTCAGGGTTCAGGGTTCAAGGCTGCAGGTTTTTAGGCTGTTTGGGAGATACTTCAAGATTCGGGGGACTCGGTAAACGTTCATACTTGGGGATACAAATGCGCTAAGTGGTGTTACGGTTTCCCAATTGAGAACCTACTTGCTCAGTCCCCTGATCCTACATATACGCTTGCGGTCTTTCAGTCGGTTTCGCCGTGGCTGTCTTGTTCTCGGGCCTCGAGTTTATATTGCGTAGTCATGTGTGTTTGTATTTTGACTCCGTGCAGTTGTCTAGACGAAAAGGAATCTTTGAGAAGGCTCGCGATTGAGCGAAGGAAGCTCGTTGTAGATGTCCGCCTCTTTGGGGCTCTTGCGTTTTTTTGCTGGGTCTCACTCTTGCAAGTCGGTTTTGACTTTGAGTTGCAAGTTTCGGAATTGTTATGTCAGGCCCACTCCCACTGCAGCAATGTCTTGGGTTGTGGCGTAAGCTTCCCGTGCCTGACACTGCAGCCACATACACGGAAGCCCCGAAATTAAGTCCCCAGCACACAGACCCGGGTGCAAAGCATCAAACCGTAAAATCGGGACCCAAAACTCTGAACCCTGAACCCTAAACCCTTGCACCCATAAACCCTCAACCTTCAAGAACCCTAAGCCTGAAACCACACCCACCCTAGAACCCCAAGCCCCAAATCTGGGTCTCGGAACCCAGAGCCCTAAGTTAAGGAGTATACCTTAAATTATAGTAGGATCCCTAACATGATTTAAGGTATGTTCCTTAATTAAGGGGTATTGGAGTCTCTGGGAAAGCGGCTGAGCTTCAGGGCCAGATCTTCTCCGTCACTGGGCAAGCCCGCAGGGCTCCATCGTCGTTGAAGGCGGCGGACCTCGGGAGGACTCGGCACGCTGCTTCTTTAATCATTCGTAGTTGTATTATTGAATATATTATGATTGTTCTTCATACCAGTGTATTGCTATTGTTATTAGCTTCGGATTTAGGGTTTTAGGGCTACACGTGGTCGCAGGACGGATGTTAAGGATTGTTAAAGCTTGTTGGCTGTTGACTTTTGAGGCTCGGGCTTTTTCCATACTGGACAGGACCGTGCTGTTCGGACGCATCGTTCAGTCAGAAGAGTTCGGCGTCCCGCGGCAGACGCTCTTCGTTTGTTCTCGGTCGAAGCTGGTTCGCAATCACAACTACGTGCCCTTCAAGCCCATCAATGGCAAGCTTCCTCCTATTCAAGTTCCCTGGAACAAAGCCAAGCCGCTCCCGAGCAGCATCGACTTGCACATCGTTGAAGTGGACAGTTGGAATGGGGACCATCAGCCTAGAGGCAGATATGTAGAAGGTTTGAAGATGCAGTCACGGGATTCTGATGTCGCTATTCTTGAGCCGGTGCAGATCTCGCTGAACTTCTGCGACTGGAAGCGCGGGGATGCCAAGAAGAGCATAGGCCTGTTCCCCGCTGGGCACTTTCCATGCCCGGACGCTTCTGGACGCGAAGATCTCCGAAGCTCCCTGGCCATTGGCATTCAGCATCCCGGACCCGTCAGCATGGCGTTCTCTTATTCTGCGGAAAGAGTTCAGATGCACATTGTTGATGTCAATGCGTACCTGGACCAGCACGGAATGGAAACTGTAGAGCAGCTGGTACGCCAGCGTGCCGTGGGTGTTTGGTTCTTGGATCACCATGACCGGCCCTTGGATGCCTGCCTCCCGCTTTTCCCACCAGATGTCGAGCAGGAGCTGAGCTTCTGTGAAGGTTCCGAGCGCCTCGCTGTGACCTTCACCTTCCCTGTCACACCGCAGCAGACCCTGGACCTCGAGGAGGTCTCCATCTCCAGCACCGTGGTGCGATGTGACACCCTGCTGACTCCAGAGAAGGCCGGATCTCTGCTGAGTGACTCCGGTGGGGGCGAGATCGGCGTGTTGCTACGCCACCTCGCAGGCTGCGCACGGAAGTTCGAGCAAGCTGAGGTTGGTCGACGCAGCTTGGCGGCACTGGAGAGCCTCGATATCGACTTTGCCAGTCATGCCGGAGCTCGAGACCAGCCTTCGCCAGCTTATGCGCACCTGGCTGGCACCCGGCTCCTGTGCACCCTTGCTCACCTAGTTGATCGCACTGCTGGTCGACTACTCGCTGGCTCGAAGACCGCATGGGCAGAGGTATTGCGCAAAGTGGAGAAAGAGGAGATGCCGCCTCCCGAGTTTGAGGTCAGGCGTTCTCATGCCCGAGCAGACCCCTCGACACGGAAGGTCATTGAGCGGCTTCTCCTTCTTAGGCCTGAGAAGGACCAAGGGCCCCCCTTGGGTGTGGTCGACGCTTTGCAGGCCTTGCGTGGAATCCTCCACCAGGCAGGGCTTTCCTACGAGCAGCGCCATTGCTTCGTTTCATCGTTCCTCCGGCGATTCCGCAATGCGTTGCCGCAGGCATACTTCGAAGTTGCCGAGCTAAGCCCTTCACCTGCCAAGAAGCCCGAGACAGGAGATGATTCGTTCCAGCACGAGCGAAGCTTCAACATCAGTCGCCCCTTGCAGTATCACATTGACATCCTGGGCATGCGGGCGCTAAAAGCTTTGCTGGGTTGGCCCTCCAGTGCGCGGTTGCGCTTGACCAGGGTGGACCTGCAAAAGGCCGTTGCCCGAGCAAACGCTCGGCAAGCCGCAGAGGGCTTTGGCCTACACATCTTCAGGGTCATCTCTTGGATGAAGGAGCCGACCCCCCAACTTTTAGACTGTACCAACTTTGGATTAGGTTTTGCCCGTGTCGTAGCCCTGGCCGCAGGATCTATCCATCGGGCGCATCATCTCCAACCCACTGATTGGGGCGGTGGGGCCTGTTTACATCAACGTGCTGATCCCCTCGGCGACGTCATCCGTCTTGGAGTTCAAGGCGCCGCCAGTTTGGATGGTCGGGGGACGCAGTAAGTAGCTACTCTATAGACTTATAAGCCCCGAAGCGGCTCTGGGCTTTGGGGTTTGGGGCCGCTACCTGCCAAAGAACCTGCAATCGAGCTTGGATGCTTAAATCCTAATCCCAAACTCTTCGAGCAAACGACGCTAAACCCTAAACCCCTCAACCCCAGTTCCTGAACCTCAAGGGCTCCAGAGCGAAAAAACGAGGCGCACAGAACTCAAGCGCTCTCTTTGTCTTAGTAGCTGAACAAGTGCACTGTACAGTTTCTAGGATAGTAGTATCCTCAACGGAACTGAACGTTTACACAAAAACTTCTGAACTCAGCAACGAAGTCGTGGCTTTGCGGCTCACGCTCTTGCCCTTGTCAGGGGGCCATACGCCGTAAGCCCTAGCCTTGGACTCGAAACCCCTGAAGCCCTGAACCCTAAACACCAAACCCTAAACCCTAAGCCCCCAACCCTAAACCTTAAACCCTAAAAGGTTTAGGGTTTAGGGTTCGGTTTAGCCTTGAAAGACCGAAAACCCTTAGCCCCAAAACCCGAAACATGTAAACTCTGAAGCCTGAAAGCCTTCAAGCTGCAGTCACGAGCCCTCAACCCTAAAACCCTGTGGCCCAATAGTGTCATATAGTACAGACAGTATAGTATACATTCTATCCGTTTTGCTATTCTATAATATTCAGTCTAGTTTATTATCTTCTCTTCTCTTCTGTTTCATTATATTTTATTCTGTTCTATCTAATGCTATTCTTTTCTGTTCTGTTCTTTTCTGCTCTGTTCTGTTGTATGCTAATTCTGTTCTCTTCCATTCCATTCCATCCTGTTCTATTGCTCTACAGCATATCGCAGTGTATGGGTTACAGTCAAAATCGTGATCCCTTAAAACACCCTGTGTACATCTACTCTTCATACGGCCCCCAACAGTTTGGGAGCCCAAAAGAGACCCCAATGACCTAATGTGGACAACTACCCGTATCTTTTTTACAGCTTATTTCTCTTCCATTCCAGTCTGCTTCATTCCAGCCCATTACATGACACCATCAGATGAGATATAGGCGAAAAGCCTAGACCCTAAACCCCAAACCCCAAACCCCAAACCCTAAACCCTAAACCATAAAAAGCAAAAACACCCTAGACCCTAGACCCTAAACCCTAAACCGTCAACCCTAAACCCTAGACCCTAGACCCTAAAACCCCGAAAGCTTATGGCAAGGTGCCCGTGTCGGCTCTGAGCTCGTCCTCGGAGAGCCCGCACTACGAAGCAGCGACACAGTCCCTGAGGCCGCGGGTTTAGGGGTTTAGGTTTAGGGTTTAAGGGTTTAAGGGTTTAGGGTTTAGGGCAGTCGCCTAATCATAGTCTTCGCTTCGAGCTCTTCAAGGTTTTTACCCTCTGCATGGACCGCGTGCCCAACGATGAGCAAGGGTATCGCTTCAAGAGATTCGCATGTAAAGCATGCAGCCGGCATGACCATGAACATCCATAACATTCAGTTTTTGTCCGCGTGCCACTGTGGCAGGCTGACTGCAAAGGATCCGGTGACGGGGGAGGCCCAGAAGCTTTCGGTAGACACATGGTCAGCGCCAAAGATGACCTGCACCATCTCACACAACAGTGCCCAGCCGGTTCCGCACCATGCCAGCGCCAACGCCATTATCGTAACGGAGCTCGTGCTGAACAAGACACCCATAGCTGTCGGCCATAAGATGTTCCCGGAGATGTTCTCGTCCTGCCCCGATCTTGTGGAGTGGGCAGTGATGGATCGCCGGATCGAGGCTTACTCACGCGTGTGGACCCGGATCAAGACGTGTCAAGTCCATGCAGCAGCTGTCTCTAGTGATGCCTACACCAGGCCCGTAGACGCACGCAGTGTGAAGTGGGTCCAAGACCACCGCAGCTTGGCCGTTTTTGAGCTTACTTCGTATATCTGGTATGTTCTCTTCTCAACACGGAACAGTACTTATACAACTCTTAAGATAGGCCTCCCTGCAACGACCCAGGCAAGTGGTACTTCCATGGTCAAGCGGTGTTTTCCGGGCCGTTGCGGGTGCGGCAGGGCGACCTTGCTGTCCTCTTCTTCAGCAGGGAGGACCAAGTCCTGGAGCTTCGCGGTACCGTTTTGCAGTTCAGAGCCGACGCGAAAAGTCGAGATACTTCGGTGGGGAAGACCTTCAACATCGAGGTGGAGGTCTGCGAGAATTCTCAGCCTTTGCGGGAAGCGCACGACTCCTTTGTTCTTGCCGCCACCCCATCCCTCTACTTCATTGTGGTCCCAGCAAACGAGAAGAAGAGCATTCAGATGTTGCAGACGATTCCATCGAACCCTCCGCTGCAGAACCCGGGTTCTTGTTAAGGAGTTCAATACAGTTTATGCTACCGGAATATTAATATGGAAAGCATATCGCTTACGAAAATTCCCAACATGGCCAATCAAGTCCGAACCCAGGAACATGCGACTGACGGTTCCACGAACATCGCAGCAGCAGAAGCAAGAGCTGGAAATGCGACCGCTTCTGACCGTTCAGGAGGTCGGGGTGCCAGGAGGGAGGATGTGTCGTAGTCCTCAATGCTTCAGTTTTGTGTAGTTGTGGAATGTGGGTAGTTCTGTGAACTACGGCGCATTTCTGCATGCAGAAAAGAGGTACCGTCATTTGGCGAATCCTCTTACGAGTTTGAAGAAACCAGGAGAGTCCCCAAAAAGGACTGAATATTCCTGTTGAGTCGAGTGTAAGTTCCTTCATTGAATGAGGTTTTGCAGATTTATGTGGTGGAGTGCAGGGATGCTCTCAGAGCTGTGCCAGGTCCAAGTGGCACTGTGCAAACCGGACTACGAGATGCAAAAGGACAAAAGGGGTCAATGAGGGTAAATGGGGAGATGATGGGACATGTAGTAAATACTCGGCGGCTTCAACTTGCAGCTTCGGGAGACGAGGAGCAGAGGCTTTGGAGCTTTGGGCGTAGATTCAAGCCTAATTCTAGTATTTGGGCAAGAGGTTTTCGTCCTGGGGCGGACTCCCGAGTTTTCACAACAGGCCTATACCCTGAACCGTGGCTTGCAGGTGAAGAATGTAGAGCTTGAAGTTCAGGAGCTTTAGGGCTTCAGGCTTTTCCAGTACAGCATCATCCAGGCTTTGAGCGTTGTGGTTAGAGCTTCAGAAGCCATCCAAGTAGGCCAAGTGCAAGATCTTAAAGCCAAAATTAGCTGATTCTTTGGAGGACACCAACTTGAATGAGCAGCAAACACTTGCATTGCAGCGTGGTCTACAACGGCCATTCTCCATCGTGCAGGGGCCTCCTGGAACAGGCAGGATTCTGTACTCCTTGAGGCAGTGGTAAGTAGTAGTCGAAGCAGTAGTAGTAGCAGCAGCAGCAGCAGCAGCAGTCGTAGTCGTAGTCGTAGTCGTAGTCGTGGTAGTTGTGGTCGTAATCGTAGTCGTCGTCGTCGCTGTCGCAGTTGCGGTGGTCGGGGTACTGGTAGTCGAAGTGGTAGTGGCAGCGCCAGCGGCAGTAGCAGGAGCAGTGGCAGGCAGTAGCAGCAGCAGGAGCAGCAGGAGGAGAAGAAGAAGGAGCAGGAGCAGGAGAATGAGAAGGAGAAGGGGAAGGAAAAAGAGTGGTAGTGTAGTGGAAGTGGTAGTAGTAGTGGAAGTGGTACTGGTAGCGGCTGCTGTGGGTGAGGCCGTGTCTGTGGCTGTGGTGGTGGTAATAAAAGCAGCAGTAGTCGTACCTGTTGCAGGCAAGACGTCCTTGTTGGTGAAGTTCATTGTGTCGGCGATGTCTACCAAGCTTTCTGGCCCACCGCGGCAGCAGGTGGGTGGAGTGATTTTTGTGTGCAATGTCAGGCTGCGGGTTCAGGAGTGGGAGTAGTTTGAAAGGGAGCCAGTGCCACTATGGCAAGAGCCACCTTTCAGGTGCATCGCGTCCTCGTCTGTGCGCCCTCCAACCATGCAGCAGATCACCTTCTGCAGCGTCTTGTGAGGGACACGCGCATTCCACCGCAGTACATCACACGGGTGTATTCGCGGTTCATAGAGGCCAGCCACGGAAGCACCTACAAGAGTGGCCCCGTGCGAAATGAGCGCGGCTTCGACATTCAGCCTCATCTTGAAGAACACAGCTTGCACTTCAAAGTGAGCCAATCACCCCAGGTTGCCAGGCAGAGTGACGATCAGAAGGCGTTTGACAAAGCCTATGAAGCAGAGGAGGTTGCAGTTCTCAACAGAAGCCGTGTTGTGATCAGCACGTGTACCAATGCATACTTGCATCCTGCACTGATCCAGGGTGAACCGCGAAATGCTGTCCGCCCAGTCCAGTTCCACACTGAAGTCGTTGATGAAGCCGCGCAAGCAAGTGAGCCTGATGTCGTGCTGGCAGCCACTCATGCGGCTTTGCGCTTGGTTGTGGTAGGGGATCATCAGCAGCTCGGACCTGTGATAACCCAAAAAAACTTGTGTGCTGCATACCTGGGTTCTTTGGAGGTCTCGTTCTTGGAGCGGATGTTGAAGGATCCAGTCCGACAGTGTGCCAGTGTCATGCTGAACGTGCAGCATCGCATGCACGCATCCATCAGACGCTTTCCGTCGATGCAGTACTATGAGTCAAAGTTGACGGACCACGTCACAATCCCGCATCGCCCTGAGCTACAGAGCCTCTGGCCACAAGAGAAGGAGCACTGCCGCTTCATTCACAGCTGCACTCCCCATTCCATCGAGCTGGCTTGTGAGACGTCCTTCGAAGCGAAAGGCTCCCTGAAAAACGCAGGGGAGGCAGAGGTTGCTGTGCAAGCATGTGTCACGCTTCTGGAGAAGGGCTGCCAAGCGGAAGACATTGCCATCATAACACCGTACACCGCCCAGTGCCTGGAGATCCGCGGCAGGCTTGAGAGAGCCATGAGTGACCGAGCTCCGAGCTCGACTCCGCTTGTGGGCACGGTGCATGCGCTACAGGGATGGGAACGTGAGTTCATCATCATGAGCTGTGTGCGCAGCATATCAGAGGAGGTACAAGACATCTCTTCCGGAGAAGCGGCCACACGTGGGGACTCCGTCGCTTTGCGGGAGGTGTTTCAGCCAAGCCTAGGCATCGTGTCAAACCCCAAGCTCTTGAACGTGGCATTAACCCGTGCAAAGTATGGATTGCTGTGCATCGGGAATGCGGATATCTTGAGTGCGGGCTCCAAAGATTTCCACGACCTGATCAGCAGCCTCCGTAAGCGCAAGTGTTTGGAAAATCGAGAAGCTTTCGTCAAGTCGTTGCGTGGGACACGGCGGTGGGCTCGCACATCTCTCCCAAGCCTCCGTCCGGAGGACTCCTGCTCCAATGTGGGAGCCGTCGATGTCCGGCGCGAGCTTCTGCAGCGCCAGGATGCAGTGATTGAAGGCTCTGAGGTGTCCGATGCTAGCTCCATTGCAGTTCTCTCCGACCTGGCCGATGGCCCGAAGTGCTTCTTGTGCGGGACGCTGCTGAAGACGGGCGGCGGCAGCATGATACCAGTTGAACTTCTGGAAGAGCACACCAGGGTTGCTGCTGCCGCGGGGGACAAATTGTTGTTCGCAACTGGGCCGTTGTTGGGAAAACCATCTTTTTTGCGTGAAGCAGTCTGGAACCTTGCAAGTGCAACGGTAGTAGCCGATAGCGCGGATAATTTTCGGCTCAGCTGTCAATATGTGGAAGACTCAACCCTAAACCCTAAACCCTAAACCCTAACCCCTAAGCCCTAAGCCCTAATCCCTAAGCCCTAAACCCTAAACCCTAAACCCTAAAACCCTAAACCCTAAACCCGGGTAGGGGTAAGTACGAACTACCCAATCCAGGTGAAGAAGCTCCAGTGTCATCTCCAGGAGACGGTGGACTTGGTGCAAATAGATGCGGGTGAGGCGAGTGATGCTGCTAAAGCAACCCTAAGCCCTAGACTCCAGACCCTAAAGCTAAACCCTGGACCCTGGACCCTAAACCCTAGATCCTAAACCCTAGATCCTAAACCCTAACCCTCAAGTCGTAGTCTCAAGGCCCTGAAACCCAAAAGCCGTAACCTTAAAGGGACCCCTAAACTCTGTAAGTTGGGACTGGAGGCTTCCATCATCGTGACGGGCACGCACAGGGTGGTCATGGAGAGTGGTCCCCCCAGGCCGTGAGCTTGAACCCGGTGGGCTTGTCGTTGCAGGCTTCTGTATAGGGTTTATAGGGTTGTGCATAAGTTTTTTTCCAGGAAGGCTTTTGCAAGTCTTATGAAGGTTTTGCTGGGGTTTCGCAAGATTTTTATTAGGCTTACTGTAGACCACTGATAGCCTTAGTACGAGAAGTTCATTCGCTATTCCAATCCTGTTGGAGTAACCAGGTGTCTTCATTCCCTTCAGCTCAAATCCCTATCTTTTGTTTAAAGGCCGTGCACGCTGAAAGCCTGAACCCTTGGCCTTGAAGGTTCCTGGGTACTTGATTACAAGTCCTCCTCTTTAACATACAGTACCCAGGGACTCCAATACCCCTTAATTAAGGAATATACTTTAAACTATAGTAGGATCCCTAATATGATTTACGGTCTATTCCTTAATTAAGGGGCATTGGAGTCTCTGGGTATACAGTTAAACATTATTGTAGATACTGGTAAACGACCGATGGACTCTGCATCTGGGGGCTCTGGATACATAGGAAGTTTAAGCTACCATAGTGAGGAAAGCATGTTGATTGCTAGATATCCCTGCTGTGGTAGCTTAAACGGTTGCTGCAAAATTTAGGTTCGATTCGGCGATTTTTGTATAGAAAAGTTGATTGTGTGGTGACAGGTCAGGCCCCCACTTTGTGCTCAGTCTGGAATCATCAACAGTACTTAAGTTGGTCGCAGAAGAAACCAGCTTGCAAGCTGACGACTAGCCAATGCTGAAGGCTCCTGCAGAACAGCGATCCGTAAAAGCAGATGAGGTTTCTCATGCCAGAAAAAAGTTGCTGGACTGAGTCGGCTTAGTCCTAAACCGTGAAATGACAATGCTGGCACAGAGATCAAACACTACTCAACCCGGAAAAGATTTTGCGGTTCCAGCTCAGACATGTGCCAATGGCTTGAACGGCATTTTTGGGATACACCTCGTGCCTAACCCAAGGTTAGAGATGTCCCTGTCGCTAACACTGCACCAGGACATAACTCCAACGCTTTAGGGTTTAGAGTTTAGGGTTTTTAGGGTTTGCAAATATAGCGATCG